TCTAATGAGAGAACATCCTTCTGGTCTGGTGGGACCACAGCAGCTTCATCTTTTATTTCCTCTGGTGGACCTGGATTACTTGAATTTTGGAATGGATTGCTGGTTAAACAAGATTAAACACAGGAAAATCCCACAAACAGCAAATAGTCATCTGGTCTTCAAAGCTGGATTGCCACTGAAGAAAGACACATTTTGTCAAAAGCTTTTAATTTTGCACACGTCGGGGATATTTTACAATAGCAACCGCATTTAGACTGAATGGGAAAAGAGGACTGATTTGTGGATCTGACCATTTCTCACTGTATGTTACACAAAATACAAACTGGCATATGAGAATAAAGTTAATTTAAAATGCAGTTATGCTTTAAAAGGAGCCAGTTTATCCAGGCTTTCTTGGGGTAAGATATCTCAAAAGTTGGAGCAACAGTTAAGGTTAGCTCTTTCATGCTGCTACCACGCAATAGAAACAGAAGTGGTGTTCACCGCTAACTAGATGCTACCAAAAAGACATCATGTCTATCACACAAATGAGTAATGTGGTATATGATTTTTAGTGCCAGTGCGATGACAAGTGTTTAGGCTGCATTTTCTCAAGACTGGAAGATTGCTTCAAATGGCACATCCTTTTGTCTGTTTGCAACAAGAAGAACACTGAACGTATCCAACCTTGCTTGTAAACTTCATACCACAGTGTCCAACATTAGATATGATTCCTCAATTGGATAACAAAATCGCAAGTATGTGGAAAATTATGCTGCCAACCAACCTGGGGTTGTTAGGCTGGTACATGGTATGGTAGACTTGTATGTTTTGAAAGCTACATACACTAATACACAGGTTCCTGTTCTTTGCAGACAGAACGAACATGTTTGCCACACAATGTCTGTTTCAACACAATAAAATAGGTGACAGCTATTCTCTGCTTCATTTCTCTGGTCAATGCCTCGTTTAAACTTTAAACAAAGCTTAACAGTTAACTGTCAGTCATCATTCCCGTCGCAAAGCTTAACAGTTAATGGTCAGTCATCATTCCCCGTAGCAATCCCATTCCTCATAGCATTCCTTCAACAATCAGAGCCCATTTGTGAACTAATCAGTATTCTCCCTGGTATAACTGCTGTTTTCTCTTTAAGTTTGGTGTTACTTGCAAATTGTCCTGATGAACGCAAGATGAAAAGCATTGACAAGATGTGTCTTTTACATCAAATGTAAGACCAAATGTAAGGGATATTTTTGCTTGTGTTGTTTGAGAGAATAGAGTTGCCCTGGACATCGGAAATGAAACCCAGGTCTTTAAATGGTGGTCATGGATCTTCAGTAGGGATGTGAACAGATTCACAGAGTGAATTGTCCCTCCTAAGGGGGAGGATGGATGTAAAAACTGTGTGGATGAGCACACAAAACACCATTACAATCAAGTGGTGGAAAATGGGATTAGAAATGTTAGGTTATTTTTGACCAGCTCAGATTTGATGGGCCAAAGGGCCTTTCTCTGTGCTGTAGATCCATGACTCTTCATACTAAAGAAGAGCAGGACAGCTCTGCCTAGTGTCTGGGCTAATATTTTCTTGCCAGCGAATATCACGAAATATTTTATCAGGTTAGAGGCTTCAGGACAGGAAAGGAACAACTGAAAGAGAGGCAGAGACATGTTTCAAAATGAACTGTAATTTTTTGACTGGCCATGTGATGGCAACTGTGATCCGACTCTGGAAGTGAACACATCTTTTGGTTGAAGGATAATGGTTTTGATTGCTGAACGATTCACAGGTTGTCCTTTTCATACCCCGATTGTAATGGTAGGGTTTTTATTCTGGTATTAATGTCATTTCACATTCCCTTCTACTGTTTATTTATGACTTAACAAATGCAAATTATAGAATCATACAGTACAGAACAGGCCCTTCAGCCCATCAAATCACTAAAGCCAAGTAGGTGAGTTCTTCATTTAAGTTTAAAGTGATTAAACCATCATTCTCTTTAAAGGGGACACTCATCCATACCGTCCCCTTTCACTTTATTTTTCACGTCAGCAATGCCTTTACTGGGCTTTACTTGTTACCAGTGCCCTGGCCACATGGGTGTTTTTCTGCTGGTGGAAATATTGAATAAAGTCTTTTTGCACATCGTGTTTTCACTGAGGCCCCTACAGTTACACACACACACAACACGGGTGCTGTGGGGAAAAATAAGGACTACTGCTGTGCTTGTCCTGATGGACAGTAGTAATGTGGTGCTAACAAAAAATATACATGAACAGGGGATTTAGAATCTCCTCAGTTCAGGCTCTGAGCTGGCTGGTTACAGTCAGTGTACTGTGCACAAGTCAATAAAGGGTGACTGGTGACAGGATACCGGCCTCTGTGTAGTTATTTTAAAAGAAAAATGAGAAGGACGCTCCTTGGTAATGTCAAGTATTCTTTGTGTTACTTCATAAGTGCATCAGGTTTGTAGTGAGGCTCCAGTGGTGGAAGTTGTGTTGTGCAGGGGTCCTGGTTCTGAACCTTGTCATTGGTAGTTCAAAATCTCCCATTCCACAAATGCAGTTTGTCACAAAAAATTTGTTAGTAACTTCCTGTATTTCTATTCTTTGATCCAAAGGGCGTTTGCTGGTGTACCTTGCTCAGAAAGGTTGCTCCTTACAGAGCGCCAAGACGGAGAGAAGGAAGTTTTTTTGTATTAATTCACAGAATGTGAATATCACTGGCCAGGCCAGCATTTATTGCCCATTCCTAATTGCCCAGAGGGCAGTTAAGAGTCAACCACATTGCTGTGGGTCTGAAGTTACATGTAGGCCAGACCAGGTAAGGATGGCGGGTTCCTTCCCTAAAGGACATTAGTGAACCAGGTGGGTTTTTCCAACAATTGACAATGGTTTCATGGCCAACATTAGACTCTAATTCCAAATTTTTTTTTGTTGAATTCAAATGGTGGGATTCAAATCCAGGTCCCCAGATCATCACGAGGATCTCTGGGTTAATAAAAAGTGAAAGAACAGCAGATACTGTAAATCAGAATCGAAAACCGAAATTGCTGGAAAAGCTCAACAGGTCTGGCAGCTTCTGTGAAGAGAAATCAGAGTTATTGTTTTCGGCCTGGTGACCCTTCCTCAGAACAGTTCTGCCAGACCTGCTGAGCTTTTCCAGCAATGTTTTTTTGTCTCTCTGATAATACCACTAGCCCAATGCTTTCCAAAGTGGACCAGCTTAATTTATCATTGTTGTATGCAAATTAGCTGCTATGTTCCTTAAGGTAAAGTCACCAGCATCCCAGAGGGCCTCCCACTCATTAGAAAGAGAGATGGCTAATGGCCACTTTAGCCTGAGGGTCACCATACCTCAGGTGAGGGGGGATTTTGAGGAGAGTCCTTCACAGGAACTTCTGCTGGTTGCAGGAATCAAGCCTATGCTGTTACCATCTTTCTACATTGTAAACCAACCATCCAGCCAACTGAGCTAAACAACCTCCCTGTAGGATTTGAATCCGGGTCCCCAGAACAATGGGGAGGCAATAGCCTAGTGGTATTAGCGCTGAACTGTTAATCCAGAGACCCAGGTAATATTCTGGGGACCCGGGTTTGAATCCCGCCATGGCAGATGGTGGAATTTGAATTCAATAAATATCTGAAACTAAGAATCTAATGATGACCGTGAATCCATTGTCAATTGTCAGGAAAAACCCATCAGGGTCACTAATGTCCTTTAGGGAAGGAAACTGCCATCCTTATCTGGTCTGTGACTCCAGACCCACAGCAATGTGGTTGACTCATAACTGCCCTCTGGGCAATAAATGCTGCCTAGCCAGTGACGCCCTCGTCCTGTGAATAAATAAAGAAAAAAGAAAATCCAACAATAAACCCACTGGGCTGCCACCTCCCCATAACTAGATAGTATATTAATTAGATCATCGTAGATTGGGTCAGGGAGGTGCAGTGTACAGGTAATTCTGCTATAACACATGTTTCATTGACATGAATTGGCTGCAACGCGATTGATGAGTAGTAGATGCTGTTTGGATAACATGAACTTTCTGCTCTACAGGTATAGCAGTTTTCTATAGCGATTTCCTTATAACGTGATTTCCTGTGGCGATTTTCTATAGCGCGAGGTCACGCAAGAATGCAACTATCGCTTTATAGGAGAACTACCTGTAGTTTCTTTCGACCAAGTTGTGGGATTTCATCAGTTTATGGATGTGGAACTGTGTTGACAACACGTCGGAAAAGACTTGCATTTCTGTTACCTCTTTCATGACCAGTGGAAAAATGAGTTACGGCCATTGAAGTACTTTTGAAGTAGTCACTGTTGCAACTTAACGGACAATGCTTGCACAGCAAGCTTCCACAAAAAGCAATGTGCTGATGATCAGGTAATGTGGGTGGGTCTGGTATAGCAGGGCGAGGGTGGTGAGTCGTGTAGAGGGCAGCTAAGGAGATGGATAGTGGTCTAATGGGAATGTCATTCGGTATAGTTATCTAGCTATCCAGGCTAACGTTCTGGGGAACAAGGGTTCAAATCCCATCAGGAATTCAATGATGTGACTTTGGGTAATATGAGGAAAAAGCTTTCTCACTCAATGGGTAGTTATGGTCTGGAATGCACAGCCCAGAAGTGTGGTTGCGACAGATTCAAGAGGACTTTGGGCAAGGGTATGGGGGAAAGTAAGAGATGGGCACTCAGTCATGATATTTGTTTGAGGAGCTAGTGTGGGCACAAAGGGCAAAATAGCATTCTTCTCCACTGTAACAATTCTGTCAATAAAGACGAAACAATTCAGATCTCCTGGTAATTGATCCCAGTTGTTGCTTGTGGGATCTTGCAATATGGTACTTGGCTGCTACCTTTTCTGACATGTCAACAGGACATTGCACCATATTAAAACAAATGCTAAACTGACACAACCCCAGATAAATTGGGAAGGATAGGAGTTCATTGGGCACTAGGACCCAGAAGAATTGAAAATCTCAGCAGGGTGTGCCTGGTATATACCATGCTCTGATTGTTTTAGCACCAGATTATGAATCAAGGCTAAAGGATCAGTTGATCACTAATGCTGGTGTCTACACAGTGCATTTAGAATCTTCCCAACATCTTGAATGTAAGTGTACCTCTTTAACTGTTGCTACATGACCGGTCTTGTGTTGATTTTGCTTCCTAAACTTCATGTCATGGATATCTAGGTTTCATTGTGTTTGCTACATTCAAAAATGTGATGTAGAAAATTCCATCCCAGTTGGATGCCTCTGGTGCAGTACGACACAGCACAAACAGCAAACAGCATGTCTAGAAGGATTCGTAGAATTATGGAGTCCATTCCGCCCATCGTGACAATGCTGCCGCTTTGAAAGAGCTGACCAAATCGTCCCATTCCCCAGCTTTCTCTCTATTGCACTGTGAAATACTTTCCTTTTGAAGTATGCATCCATTTACTTTCTTGAAAATAGTATTGCACTAGGTAATCTGAAACAAAATATTTGCGTAATTTGATAATGTACTTCGCTGTTTTGGTTTGATTAACTTGACGCTGCAAAGTTTTTAAAGTAAAGGTGAATTCACGATAGTACAATTCCCTCACTAGAATGAGACTAGTGGTGATTTAACCAGAGAGTCACCATGCCTCAGGCAAGGGGAGAAGTTAAAAAGAACAGTCCCTCATGTTAACCTCAGCCAGTGCAGAAATTGAACCCACGCTGTTAGCATTACTCTGTATTGCAGGTCAACCATTCAAGCTAACTGACCCTGTTGGATACATATGCTTGATAACTATGACTAGGAGTTTGTGAAACAGCACAGTCAGGACTGCGGAGGGGGGGAATGGTGGCTGAAGGGTAATCCAGACACCCAGCCTAATGCTTTGGGGGCACATAGAGTTATACAGCACGGAAACAGACCCTTCGGTCCAACTTGTCCATGCTGACCAGATATCCTAAATTAATCTAGTCCCAGTTGCCAGAATTTGGCCATATCCCTCTAAATCCTTCTTATTCATATACCTATCCAGATGCCTTCTAAACATTGTAATTGTAACAGCCTCCACCACTTCCTCTGGCAGCTCATTCTATACATGCACCACCCTCTGTGTGAAAAAAATTGCCCCTTAGGTCCCTTTTATATCTTTACTCTCTCACCTTAAACCTAAGCCCTCTACTCCAGGGAAAAAGACCTTGGCCATTCACCCTATCCGTGCCCCTCATGATTTTATAAACCTCTATAAGGTCACCCCTCAGCCTCTGACGCTCTGGGAAAAATAGCCCCAGCTTATTCAGCTTCTCCCTATGGCTCATGATGTGGAGGTGCCGGTGTTGGAGTGGGGGGGGAAATGTCAGAAGTTACATGACACCAGGTTATAATCCAACAGGTTTGTTTGAAATCACCCAAGCTTTCGGACTGCTGCCCCTTTGTCAGGTGCGCCTAACCAATAACCTGACCATCCATACTGAAATTGCAATCGAAGCCCACATCCCATGAAAGACTTTTTTTAAAATTAATCTAAATATTAACATGTTAGATGAAGCTTCCCAAACTCACAGGATCTACACCACTGGTTATAAAAGAAGGAAGCCCAGGATTGCCAAAACTCAGGGACTAACCTGAATTATTGGTCGAGGGAAGTTCAATGCCACCTCTCCAAAGATTACAGATGTGCTGTCACTTCCTAAGTATGTATGTTGGATATGGTCTGAAAGTGTTAATACTGAGGAGTGCCACAAGCACCACTTGATGTTATATAGACTGAGGATCTCGAAGGGGTGAGACGTCACATCTGATCCTTCTGTAACAATGTCTATCAGAATAATGTAACTTTAACTTTTCCTATCAGACAATAAACCATATCTTGTTAACTACAAGACACTCTTCTAGTTAGACCAGAAAGTGGATTTCCTTTACTGCACTAGACCAGGCAGCCTTTGTTGTTGAACAGGATGGTAACAGTAAACTTCATTGTGAATACAGCGCAGTGAGGTGACCCTGTTCATACAACATTGTGCTCATCTCTGCTGGTTATTCCCGGTTTCAATCTCTTCGCTCCCATTTCTGTAATTGTCACCGTAGTGAACTAAATCTAAATCAAAGTCACAAATGTATCTGACTGTGTCCACAATGAACTACCTCTCCTTATCTTTATTAGCCACTCTTCAGCCTGGTCTGCTGACTATACTTTCAGCTGACAATTCTTCTTGTCTATTATCGAACTCAGATGGAAAATTAACGTAAAGTTTGGCTTTCCCTCCTTTAATGCCTTCCTTGAAATTATGCCTTTTTTAAATTTATTCACAGGATGAGGGCATTGCTGGCTGAGCAAACATTTATTACTGCATTATTAATAGGGCTGTTAGAAGTCAACCACATTGCTGTGGGTCTGGAGTCACATATAGGCCAGACCAGGTAAGGGTGGCAGTTTCCTTCCTTAAAGGACATTAGTGCACCAGATGGGCTTTTGCAACAATTGACAATAGTTTCATGGTCATCATTAGACTCTTAATACCACATCTTTTAATGGAATTCAAATTGCACCATCTGGTGAGGCGGGATTCAAACCCAGGTACCCAGAACATTATCTGGGTCTCTGGATTATGGGTGCAGCAATAATACCACTAGGCCATCACCTCCCCACATAAAGGTTTTGGCCACCCCTTCCCTATGTCTTCTTTGGCCTGGTCTCCATTTTTACTGAATGACACCTTTGTGAAAAGCACTCTCTGTTAAATGCACAATATAGATTGTGAGTAAAGACTCTCAGTGATTGCACCTGCCTTCTCAAGTTGCTAGGTATTATAACTAGAACAACAGATCAAAGGATTGATATCATCGTTAACCCAAGATCAGTTGTCCAGTGTACACTATAAACAGATCAACTAAGCTGTAAATTTGGTTCAGTCCTTGAAATCACACCCATCTATCCATTATTCTGCTGGTTAAGCATTAAACCATAATAAGTGCTTAATGATTTCAAAAGAAAATTCTCTGTTAAGGCAAGTCTTGAATCTTACTTATTGGGTCAGAGGCAGTCAACTCCTGATAAGAGTGAAACTTTCTTTTGTAATGAAAGTGCAACTGCCAACCAGTCAATAGAACTCAAATGATTTGTAGCCTTAATCAGTTTTAGCTCCATGCAATTCAAGCGATGAGACGGCAATCCTAGTTGTAGCTGTGTAACGCTGCATGCAATGATAATCAGCCTGGTCCCCTTTGTGGACAGCGTTACAGAAGGTAGGTCCCATCACTCACCAGGTTACACAGCAAGAGTTAAAGAGCTTGGAAGGATCAATTGATTTTGCTGGAACAAGCGGCTGGTTTTCCTCTCTCTCTCCCACTGTTCATGCCTGTTGACCTCAGGTAGGAGGCTGTTTGTGCATTGGGCATGTTTAAGCAGCATTAAATCCAATTGCTTTTAATTCTAATAAGCATGTTATCTTGCCTTCTTTTAAAAGGTAGCTGCTAAATGTGGACACAAGACTTAGGATTGTAAACTGTGAGGAGACAGTGTAGATCTCCAAAAGGCCATTGACAAGTTGGTGGAGTGGACAGACAGATGGGAGCTGAGCTTCCACACAGAGAAGCGTGAGATGATTTATTTTGGGAGGAAGAACATTGAAAGGCCATGTAAAACAGTGGCTATAATTCTAAAGGGGATGAAGGAGCAGAGAGACCTGGGTGTATATGTGCACAGATCATTGAAAGTGGTGGGACAGGTACAGAGAGATCATTAGTAAAGTGTACTGTATCCTTGGCATTGTTAATAGGGGCATCGAGTACAAAAGCAAAGAGATGATGTTGAACTTGCATAAGACACTTGTTAGACCTCAGCTGGAATATTATGTACAGTTGTGGGCACCACTTCATAGGAAGCATATGATGGCATAAGCGATTTACAAGAATGGTTCCTGGAATGAGAAACTTCAGTTGTGAAGATAGATTGAAGAAGTTTTGGGCCTGTATTTCTTGCAGAGAAAAAGGCTGAGAGGAGCTTTAATAGAGGTTTGTAAAATCATGAGTGGGCTAGAGAGGGTGGATAGGGAGAAGCTGTTCCTGCCTGTAAAGAGGAAAAAAGAACAAGAGGGCATGGATTTAAAGTGATCTGCAAAGCAGCAAGGGTGAGAAGAGGAAAAACTTTTTCACTCAGCAAGTCGTTAGGGAACGAAATATGGAGCCTGGAAATGTGGTGGAGGCAGGTACAATTGTGGCATTCAGGCGGGGCATTGGGTGATTATTTGGATAAAAATAATCTGCAAGGGTTTGGGGATATAGCAGCAGAACACTGAAGTGTTCTGAGGGAGGGTCACTGGACCCCAAACATTAACTCTGCTTTCCCTCCACAGATGCTGCCAGATCTGCTGAGCTTTCCCAGCAATTTCTGTTTTTGTTTCTGATTTCCAACATCCACAGTTCTTTGATTTTTTTGGACAGGGATGAAATGTTGAGAGCATTCTTCCCTCAACTTACATAACTGGAAAGCAGAGAAAGGGAAGAGGAGACAAACTAAGTGAGGTCTGGTCTGGATTACCACTCAAACATCATATAACGCGATAGGAGGCCAATGGGTCCATTATGTTTGTGCTGTCTTTTTGACAAGAGTTTCTGAAATTACTCTCTTTCCACTATCAAGATGAGGTGATGGCCTAGTGGTTTTCTCACTGAATTGTTAACCCAGAGACCCAGATAGTGTTCTGGGGACACCAGTTTGAATCCTGCCACAGCAGATGGTAGAATTTGAATTCAAAAAAGTATCTGGAATTAAGACTCTAGTGGTGATCATTAAACCATAGTCAATTGTTGGGAAAAGCCCATCGGGTTCACTAATGTCCTTTAAGGAAGGAAACTGCTATCCTTACCTGGTCTGGCCTACATGTGACTCCAGACCCACAACAATTTGGTTGACTCTTAACTGGCCTCTGGATGAGCAATAAATGCTGGCCTAGCCAGTGACGCCCTCATTCTGTAAATTAATTATAAAAAAAGCTATTCTTTCCACATGTGCCATTGCAAAATATTCGTTCAAAAGGATGCTTTGCTGAAGTATTACCAGAACTAGCCTTGTCTTCAATACAGTTACACCAACTGCAGTTGACATTATTTGAACATAAACAAAGTTGCTGG